CCTAGGAGACGGGCAGGAAAGTCAAACAGAAGTCACAAGACAACCACAGGGCAATTCACCTAGTGTGGGAAGCAACGGGGAAAACACTACAAGTTCCCCAGGTCCGAGAAGGTCGCTCAGGGTCAAAGGCCCTCCCAAATACCTTGCAGATTACGTAAGGTGAGCATGTTAATTGCATTAACTGAACTAGAGGTCCTGGCTGGTTGACTCTACGTAAACGATGTTGGGGCCATTGGGTCTCTGTACGACGGAACAGTCCCACATCTTACACACACTGTGTGACTTTAACTTAACAGTTAATTATATTACCATCACTATGATGGCGTCCATGTGGGCGCCGTATTATTTCATCTAGGGGGGAGGGGTGTTGTGTCCTGAGCCTGGGACGTTGCAAGAGTCCCGGGCAATTGCAAAAGCTGCCCGGGACCAGACTGAGTGGCGCCGGCCTTGCGCGCATGCGTAAGGCGGGAAAAGACCGCTTTGTGATTGGTTGGATTTGCCCGGGGATCAGAAGGTATAAATAGAGGCCTGCATGCCTCTGCTCAGGTTGTTGGTAGATTGGAAGCAGAGAATAAAGACTTGTTAGAAATGCTTCGTCTCAAGCGCCATTATTCTCTGGACTTAACAGACAGCATCACCACCAGATGGATTTTTAGCTGGCTGACCGGCCGTACTCAGCATGTGGTCCTCAATGGAACTGCATTTACATGGAGGGAAGTGTGTTGTGGGGTGCCCCAGGGCTCTGTTCTGGGTCCACTGCTCTTCAACTTCTTCATCAATGATTTGGATGAGGGGATAGATGGGGAACTCATCAAATTTGTGGATGACACCAAGCTGGCAGGAATAGCCAACACTCCAGAAGACAGGCTTAAGATACAGGAGGACCTGGACAGACTTGAACACTGGCACTATCTAACAAAATGAAATTCAATGGTGAAAAAAGTAAGGTTCTACATTTAGACAAGAAAAACCAAATGTACAGGTATAGTATAGAGGGTACCTTGCTCAATAGTAGTAACTGTGAGAGGGATCTTGGAGTCCTAGTGGACAATCACTTAAATATGAGCCAGCAGTGTGCTGCAACTGCCAAAAAAGCCAACACAGTGCTGGGCTGCATTAACAGAGGAATAGAATCAAGATCACGTGAAGTATTAATACCACTTTACAATGCCTTGGTAAGGCCACACTTGGAATACTGCATCCAGTTTTGGTCACCACGATGTAAAAAAGATCTCTAGAAAGAGTACAGAGAAGAGCAACAAAGATGATTAGGGGACTGGAGGCTAAAACATATAAGGAACGGTTGTTGGAATTGGGTATGTCTAGTTTAATGAAGAGAAGGACGAGAGGGGACATGATAGCAGTGTTCCAATATCTCAGGGGCTGCCACAGAGAAGAGGGAGTCAAGCTATTTTCCAAAGTGCCTGAAGGCAGGACAAGAAGCAATGGATGGAAACTAATCAAGGGGAGAAGCAACCTAGAACTAAGGAGAAACTTCCTGATAGTTAGAACAATTAACCAGTGGAACAACCTGCCTCCAGAAGCGGTGAATGCTCCAACACTGGAAGTTTTTAAGAAGAGACTGGACAGCCATTTGTCCGAAATGGTGTAGGGTTTCCTGCCTGAGCAGGGGTTGGATTCAATGACCTCCAAGGTCCCTTCCAACTTTATTATTATTATTATTATTATTATTATTATTATTATTATTATTATTATTATTATTATTATTATTATTATTATTATTGTTGTTGTTGTTGTTATTGTTGTTGTTGTTGTTGTTGTTGTTGTTGTTGTTGTTGTTGTTAAGTTTGGGTTTGAATTCGGTAAAAACTACTAGGACCATAAACTTTAGGGGGTATGGGAAAATGAAAGGGTTAAGATCTTGTGGGATTTTAAGATCAAACAGACAGATATCTTGTTCATAAAAGGCCTAATGTGACAGTTATTGAAAAGAAGGAAATCTGGTTCACTGATGTTGCTATTCCAGGTGATGCCAGGACTGAGGAAAAACAATGGAAAAAATTACACAATACCGGGATTTGCAAATTGAAGCTGAGCACTTATGGAAAAAGAAATCCATCGTTATACCAATTGTGATTGAAGCCTTGGAGCTATACCTAAAGGACTTCCTCAACATCTAGAAATATTGAATTTATCAAATCTGAACACCTAATTTTACAAAAAAACCCCTACTGTTTGGAATTGTCTATATTCTTACATGTTACCTTAAACAATTCTTAACAATTTATTAAAATTCTATGCTGTCTGGTTCCCTGCAATTCTGTCTTTCATTATATCCAGTTAATTCATTTTATCCAGTGGACTTTAGATGAATTGTCAGTATATTGCCTTTCTATAGCTCTCTCTTAATTTTATCTTCATTTTTCCTTCTTTATTTTTCTTTCTGAAGATTTTGCTTGTATTATACTTTACCTTGGTTCCATTTTAATGGGTCTGCCAATTTTTACTAGCAGAAGTATACAAATATAGAATCAATATAGAGTTCCACAGCTATATAATCTTATCTCACAAATGCTGTCATTTTTAACTGATCAGGAAACCCCAAAGTAAATGCTTTGATGGATATGTCAATTTCGTATTTATATTAATTGGCTATGGGCAGGAAATGATTATTATCTAACTACATTATTTTGATAGGTAAACATGCAAATGTGATTAAGATTTCTTTCTGTCATTCTAGTTTTTAAGGCAATTTTAAGCAATTAATTTCTTTTTAGTTAAATAGATATTATCCAGTGGTGGGATTCAGCTGGTTCGCACCACTTCAGCAGAACCGGTAGCTAATTTTTTGTTGCCCAAGCCCAAAATGGACTTCTGGAAGCGGCACTCATACAGAGAATCAGTTGTTCACATATTTGAATCCCACCACTGATAATATCCCTTAAACATTTATTCAAATTGAATAAAAGTTTATATCTCTTAAATTGTGCTCTTTAAACAATTAACACCCACAAAGCAAATATTTCCTATTAAAACACAACATGGAATTGTTAAATTCCTAGGATCCTCATCATGTGAAAGAGTGGACATTTTCAGTGGGAAAACAAGTAAAGCAGAATTTCAGTAAGGTTGCTTTCCACCTTAGGGGAAAAAAGCAGTCAATCTGTTTAGTGAAGAAATTAGTATAAGGAGTCACCACACACCCATACTCAGCGAAAGTGATGCTGCTAGTTAGTTTGGATGGTTTTTATAGAGCTGAGGGGGGACTTTAGATTAGCACAACCCTTGATCTTCTTCACATCCGACTCTTTTCCCTTGTTCTTCAGCTTGCTTGCATATTTCAGTATGTCAGAAAGACCCCTCCATCCACCTGCCTGATTTTAAAAAGATGTATCATGAACGTCTGCAGCTTGGCTTTTAAATGTATTTCAGTCCTAAAAAATCATTATTACTGGAGAACAGACTTTGTTTTTGTTGCCATCCATTTTCTACATTATAATATGAAAAGATTATACTGCGCTCTACATCATTTATAGATGACAGAATGAAATTAGGATCTCATAAATTGTTTTAGAAGAAAGGACAATGTTATAAGAAACACAAACCTTGCTGGGACCAGCATGATCAGGTGTCACCTCTAGGGATTTTTTTAAATTACTTTGGGGTAGCCAAGATGCTAAATTTGCTTGCAATGATCCCTTGTTGCAATTATCTCAAGTATTGTATTAACTTGCACATTAATTATGAGATCTAGTTGATAAAACACTATCTTTTGTTACTCTTTTTGGCAGAAAATTCCAGGCTCAGGCTGTGGAATCTCCGAACAGAAAGGAAAAGGGCATCTGAAACAGGTGTTGCCATGTTGATAGTGTTGACTGGGTTGCATCATCAATAGTGAGCTGTATGGATCAAGGAACTATCAGTGGGACAACTCCCCGTGTTCCTCTGTTCACACTTTGTATACCAAACCGACCAATTAGTGGGTTTAGATGTAGACAAATCAGTGCTAAGCGATCAGGAAATGCAGATCGCTTTTGGTGAAGACTCCCCGACGGCACAATGGGGAGGGCTTTGTTTGAGAGAACCAGAGAAGGGGTTCTAATGTGGAAAGACTCGACCGAGGGGGAAGCCACTAGGGAGAGAAGGAGGAGGGATTAGATCGCATTCCAAGGGAGCTTGGAGGAAAAACGGAATCAAAGAGGCGAACGGCAGAAGAGCTTAGGCCCAGTAGTGAAGCTGGGAGCGCGTGGGATACAGGGGGCAGGAAGGAAGCGAGGCGTGGTAATAATTGCGCTGGTTCATTCCAGGCGTAGAAAGACTCACTCTACTCTTTTCTATTCCTCCGCCTATCTTTCCCTGATCAGGAACCGAGGTACAAGAGCAACGCTACAGCGCTGCCAGGAAAAGAGGCGCATCGATTTTCGCCAGGCGCGAAGAGGATTCTCGCCAGGCGCGAAGAGGACTTTACTGAAAAGTAAAGGCTGAAAAGTAAAGGCAGGAAAGTGCGCCGAGAGAATTCAAAAGCAAAGCGACGCCATGCCGTTCAGCAACAGTCCCGGCGGCGCCGCTTGGACGACGCCTGCGTGGAACTGGAACCGGGGCCCGCTCGGGAAGGTAGACGGCTCCGGGGGCAGCGTGGAGGCGCCGTGGTCAGGGAGCAAAGCCAACGGAAGCAGAGATCTCTACGGGCGGGACGAAGACCTGGCCAAGTTGGAGATCGCCGTGCTGGCTCTGACCTTCGCCTTAGCTGTGCTGGGCAACGTTTTCGTGCTGTTAGCGCTGCACCACACGCCGCGCAAAAAGGTATCCCGCATGCATCTTTTCATCCGGCATCTAAGCCTGGCCGACCTGGCGGTAGCTTTCTTTCAGATCTTACCCCAACTTTGCTGGGAAGTCACGCACCGCTTCCATGGGCCGGACGGGCTCTGCCGCGTGGTGAAACACCTTCAGGTCTTCGGCATGTTCGCCTCGGCGTACATGTTAGTGGTGATGACGGCCGATCGGTACATCGCCGTGTGCCACCCGCTCAAGACGCTGCAGCAGCCGAGCAAGCGCTCGCGCTGCATGATCGCGGCCGCCTGGGCGCTCAGCTTCTTGCTCAGCGTGCCCCAGTACTTCATCTTCTCCCTCAGCGAGGTGGAGAGCGACTCGCAGGTCTATGACTGCTGGGCGCACTTCATCAAGCCGTGGGGGGCTCGCGCCTACATCACTTGGATGACTGGCAGTATCTTGGTGGTTCCCGTCCTCATCCTGGCCACCTGCTACGGCTTCATCTGTTACCACATCTGGAGCAACGTCCGGGACAAGACGCGGCTGCAGAAGCGAGAAAGGGCTCCGCCACGCGAGGGCGCCCTGCGCAAGGGACTGCTCTTCACGCCTCATGTCAGCAGCGTCAAAAGTATCTCCCGCGCTAAGATCCGCACCGTCAAAATGACCTTCGTGATCGTTTCGGCTTATATTGTGTGTTGGGCTCCTTTCTTCTCTGTACAGATGCGTTCCGTCTGGGACGACCATGCCTCCTGGCAGGGTAGGTGCTGTGGTCAGATCAGCTACTGATTCTGCCTATATCTGGCTCCCTGGTATATGATTTCCAGACAAAAAACATTCGCTTGGGTGCTTACAGGGCACTTAAAACATAGCTGCACTGCACTTTTAAACTGTTCTTCACCTATGCTGATGCCAGCTGGATTTTAATCCAATTTAAGAAAATTCTGCCCAAATTGGGACACTTTGGGAGCAGCCAGGTACCATTGTTCCTCCTCTGTCCTCTGTCTCTCCCCCCTCCTAAACAATTATCCTGCTCTGTTGCCCTTCCAACTTTCTGTGCCAGGAAAGCAATTGCAGCTGCTTTCTTTTCTGTGGACATATATACTTACATATGTATATGCAAGTATATAAAACCATATAAAACCATATGCAAATTAAATCCACATATACAAAGTTAAAGCTTCAAAATGTACATAGAAGCAGGCAGAACAAGCAGCTTTAAAATAAAAAAAAAATTCTTTCTTGCACTTTCCCAGTTTAGTACAATGTCTGATGCAGCTATTGTACAACTCCCTCAGCAACATTTGTGTGACATTAAGAATGTCTTGATTTGAAACAGCAGGAAAGTTTATATATACATATGTTATATAGGTTTATATATGTCTCTTACTATTGAACTGCTTTTTTGAACCAGCTAAGTACTGTTTCGTGATTTTTGCCATTCCTTGAAGGATTTCATCCTAGAAGGATTTCATTCCAGTCCTCAGCCCAAATGAATATTACCGCAAAAAGTCACCTTGCAATATTTATTTAGCTGGGTCATTTGGCAGCTGGGTAGAAAAGAAAATTATTCCAGCATTTCACTGGTTCACTGGTAGGCTCCTTTTAAAAAAAAAATCTGCTTAACCAAAAAGTGAGTATCTCAGAAAAAGATAAACAGTAATTTTAAAAGCCCGATTTTGAGCCATTAATCTTCAGCACATCAGGCAAATATTATAGCCCTGCCATGCTAGTGGAATACCATGCAACAGCAGCTTAGATCAGAAACCAACAGAGGAGCAAACAGTTGAGGGGATTTTGCTGTTTCTTTGCTCAATAGCTAATCAAGCTGCCTAGGAAAAGTAAAAGGCATCAGGCAACCCAGAGAGCAATGCTTAAGCCAGAAAACATGAAGCAACAAAATACGAGTGGAATTCATGTTTGCCAGGGCCCCGGATGAGTAGAGGAGGGCATCTTCTGTTGGCTGGTGACTTGTATAGATTTTAAAGCAGGAATATATATTAAACATTTTTCATTGTCATATACCGATGCATAAAACTGCCACTGTATAAAAAAAAACTTTTCTGCCTGGAAATATACTTTATCAGACAGAATGATAGGATGGTACCCCTGTGCAAGTTAACTGAGACTAAACACTGTTGGATTCACTGGGGTCTTTTTTTGGCTACATAGATTCAACTTGTAAAATGCTGAAAAATTAACAATCAATCACAGTTGAATGCAACTTTTGTATTTAATAAGAAATCTGTGCTGCCCTTTAAGTTGATGAGATGAAATAGTTTCTCCATCAAAATTAATGAAAAAATATCCAGTATCTGTGTGACCATTTTCCTCTTCATTGTTTTGTTCTAATCTCCCACAAAAAATAGCAAAACTGGAAAGTTCATTATCATCTCATTCACAAATGCCATTCTCATCATTCTGCTCCAAAGAAAGATTTCAACTACTCTGTCTTGCATTTCCATTTGATTTTACAGTAAGAGATGCCACAAGGCATATTTGCTTTCTAAATGACCATGTACTGTACCAATACTGAGTTTGTTACTATAAGCAACATAAGATAGTACACCAATTTTACAGTCTGAACTGTTCTGTTTTAGAATAAATTCAAATGATTCCTTAATTTCCAGGTTATGGACAGCCATTGTTACCGTATTTGTTTGTGGTGATATACAGTATCATGTCTGTTTTAGCTAGTTCATCCCAAATTTGCCCATGGCTAGCTGACTTGCACATTATTAACTGAAAGATGGAGAATCTTTTTATTTTAAAAAAATTGGCATTGAGTCTTGTGTTCTTAGAGGAAGTTCCTGTCCTCTAAGCAAGCTTGGACACAGAATCCTTAATGTTAGCAATAGGGCAGTTCCCCGGAGGCCATCTGAGTTACACTGAAGATGGAAATTATGGCTGCTTCCTTCTTCTCAGCAGCATATTGTTTTTGGTAGTCACCTTGGTCATCATAGTAGCCCTGATATTTTCTGTAAAAAAAAATTAAGCTGATCTGTGTCTGTGTTATAAATGTAAAATGTGGAAAGTGGAAAGAGGGGCACATAACTAAATCAGAATATCAACAAATAGCCCGAGCCTGCAAAGATGAAGTGAGGAAAGCCAAGGCTCAAAATGAACTAAGGCTTGCGACCAAAGTCAAAAATAACAAAAAAAGCTTCTTTCAACATGTAAAAAACAAGAAAAAAGAAGGAAACAATTGGTCCATTAGTGGGAGAAAGTGGTAAAAAGGTGACAAGCAATAGGGAGAAAGCAGAACTATTTAACTCGTTTTTTGCATCTGTCGTTACACAAAGGGAAAAAACAGACCAACCTATGAAAAATAGTGCCATAAAAAACAGTATAGAAACACAAGTTAAGATAGGCAAGAAAATGATAAGTGAGCATCTGTCCAGCCTAGACGAGTTCAAATCACCAGGACCAGATGGATTACACCCCAAGGTTCTCAAGGAACTGGCAGATGTGATCTCAGAACCACTGAACTATATTTTTCAAAGATCTTGGAGCACTGGGGAAC